ATTATTTATCTAAACGAGCTGAAAAGCCAGTTTAAARTCTTGGGGCTGGGGGGGAAAGTCATGTTTTGGTAAACACGGTCGTAAACAYGCGCTTTTTCAATGATTTGGGGGGGGATTAAATAGGCGTCAGAAAAAGTCAATAAATGTGCTCTAACTCTTTCAAAAGGGGGGGACCAAATTAAAACATGATTTTCTCAACGAAATATGCCGAAATACTTTGAGGAGGGGGGGGATTTGATTTTTTTTCTGATTTTTTCTCCTCTGATCGCAATCGCAGGGTATGGGGGGGGCACTCAAAGTCATGTTTKGGTAAACACACGCGCGACAGCCCCAAGACTTCAAACTGGCTGATAAGCTTGAGGATCCTAATTTTATCATGCTCAAAATCATCGAAAATGTGCGTGTTTACCAAAACGCCCATTTTCGACATGTTTCCCAGCCATCTYTCACGCCTTTTTCTGGGGGGGCAAAAAGCTACTGTAAGTAGATAGAAAACAAATGTTTTGGTAATTATAACAAGTGGTAGCAAAATAGAGTACAGTAATAATAATAATAGTTATTATCTGTCATGCCTGAAAATTAAATTGAGAAACGCTTGGCCATTTTCCGAAAAAACATGCTTTATAGTCTCTATACATACCAACACAGGTAACCCACTTTGAACAGCCAGTGATTTAAGGATCCTAGATAAATGTAGGGGGGGTGAATGGCCTGACAACAACAAAAAAATAATCTTAGTTAGGAAGTGATCAGTAGGGGGGGATAAGTCTATTATATGGGAGTCAAACTACTACAAAAAAAAGTAAAAAAAAACGGGGGGGCCTAAAAAATTTGCTCAATTGAAAAAAATCTCGTCTTCACATTCATTCTAAATGCATACCAGAAATTTGTTGTCCACCAAGAACAGGTGTGAGTACTGACGCAACTGAATCCACAACAAGAAATTGCAGATTATTGTAGAACACGTCATCCTGTATGCAAAAAATGACTCGGGGGGGTGGAATAGAATAGGATAAAAAAGGAATGAGAATTAAATACAACAGAATAGATGGGGGGGGAAATAGAATAGAATGGAACACAGAAAGAAAGACAATAGTACAGAGCAGAATCCATTGGAACAGAACAGAAGAAAAGAGCAAAGTTAAGTAGAGAAGAAGAGAATAAAATGGAATGAAATAGAATTGACCTTAAGAAACAGAAAAACAACACAATAGGATGGAATGGAATGGGGGGGAATACTAGGGGAAAAAATGCAAGGGAATGGAACTAGTGAAGAGTGGAGAGCCGGGGGGGGAAAAAGCAAGGAGAGAAAGAGATCAAAAGAAGTTAATTATTTTGTTGAGAGGGGGGGGTAAATCACTGAGCCAGGTAGCACCGCTCGGAACGGGTCTCACGATAGGTTGAGGGGGGGATGGACAAACAATAGATAAGTCTTCCAACAATATAACAAAAACCTAACCTAAGGGGGGGGGTGCTGTACTTAAGGAGCAATCAAAAAGCAGGTTTCAATTGGTACTGCATTGGGGGGGTCACTGGAGATTACAATAGAGCGGAATTCGTATGACTGTGCAACTGCACAGAGGGGGGGATGGACACAGCACGACACGATCACAGAACCTCGCCTTCTAGGATTCCAAATAGGGGGGGAGATTTAACATTTCATCACTGCTACAGCACGGTACGGTCACAGTGTGAAAGTGGGGGGGTTTTTGCACAGTCATACGAAATCTGCACTTAAGTCTTACCTCATTATACAGAGGGGGGGTCACATCATTTAAACATTCTATCAAACTGTATAAATCAAATATCTGGAAACACTTGATTCTTGACAGGATATTACTTATGTCCTACAAAGTAGGAAAACATTTATGATATTGGGGGGGTTATATCAGAAATTGATACAGTCAATTGCAAAAAGGTTGTAGACTGAGATAAGGGGGGGTAACACGTATAGTAGGAGATCAATAAAATACCTAATGACATGCAGAGATACAGGGGGGGATTTATGACAAAGTACAGAAGGAGAGCAGTGTTTTCATGTGGGAGGGGGCTGGGGGGGGAAAACTCTGGAATCAAGGGTATAGACTGAGAAACTTTATCAAGCTTTAAAGTGGGGGGGACTGTCTGTACTGTCCCTAAAGTAGTACTAC